TTTCAATGTAGCTGGGTTTATTTTTTATGTTGTTAATCCTCATCAGCGGATATTTTTCCATTGGTTTTTAGGGAGAGTGAAAGGGAGAGGGAAAGACAAAAACATTGAGTGAGAGAAACGCATTGATTGGTTGCCTCCTGCACAAGCCCTGACCAGGGCCCAGGCCCTGGGGGAGCCTGCAACCAAGGTACCTGCCCTTGACTGGAATCGAACCCGGGACCGTTTGGTCCACAGGCTGACGCTCTATCCAAACCGGCTAGGGCAGAATCTGCTTTTTAATCATGCATTCCAGTTGCTTGGAACAGCCCTGGTTTTTACATGCTGTTCTGGGGTAATTATTAGTAGTGTCTTTTTACTCTCAAAAGTACCCTGGATTGGACTGTCAATTATATTTCTCCTCCTCAGAGCTGATACTACAGAACCAACAAGACAAGGTGCCTGAGGTGGTGAGCCAAGATTTCCTGTCTTCTGGCACAGTGGGAAGGGCTCCAGGGTCAGCTCAGCCACTTACAAACTATAACGTGGGCGAGTACCCTCAACTCCCTCGGCCCATGTCCTGGCCTGCGTTGTTGGGTTGATGATGCTTCCCTCACAGGGTGGCCGGAGGGATTTGATGTGTCCAGCATCTGGCAAAGAGGCTCCACCTAGAGCCACCGAAAAAGATCAGACCTGGCCTCCCCATCTCGATTCCAGATTCCTTGAGCTGAACTCTGGAGGCCCTGTCACTAGGGCCCCATTTGCGAAGGCGGCACCAGACAGGCTGTGCAAATGAGCTTCACAGCTTTTGTCAAAGTAACACAATAAAGCCCCCAAGTGTCTGCTCTTTGCAAAGTGGGATGGCAGATCAATTGTGGCATAAACAAAATAGCAGGCTTGGTGCAACCCGGGGACAGATTACGCCTCTGCAGGGTATGACTGGGGAAGGAGGGGTTCTCGGTGTGGCTGGGTTTGTTTTTTCTCTGCCTGAAGCTTCAAGGCCCCTCTCCAGAGCCAGCCTGGCTCCCACAGATTGTCAGAGCTGGGGGGACCACTCCTCCACTCTGGGAAGCGGCAGCCCAGGCAGGGACACCTCTGGC